GTCCTTTCATGTCCCTCTTCATTTGCGGAAACAAAAAGAAGTCCCACAGGGGGAAGTCAGGTGAGTAAGGTGCGAGGGGAAAGAGACAATGCTGTTTTTTGCCAACAACTGGTGCGCTGAGATGACTGTGTAAACAGATGCATTGTCATGGTGACATAACCAGGCTCACTGCCACAAATCAGACCTTTTTTGTCACACACTGTTATGCAATCTTTTCAGAACCTCTAAATAGGAAGCGTGATTAACTGTCTGACTTGGTGGAATGAACTCCATATGCACAGTGGACTGACAGTTTTGTTCATTCAGGAAGTTGATAGTCGTCCAGAACGAGGCTTGTCATCCATCGGTATTCCACCTTTTTTGAAATGAGAAAACCACTCTTAAACTTGAGTTTTCCCCATAGCGCTGTCCTTGTAAATTGTGTTCAACATCACAACAGTTTCTGCGGCATTTTTCCGGAGCAGGAAACAAAATTTCACAGCGCATGCTGTTCTCTTAAATCAGTCATCATAAAAACTCGAGTGAAACTGCTTTCAAGAAAAAATTCACTGTGACCAGAGAACCTTCCTAGGCGATATCCCTGGGAGCAACTAACTCAGAGTTGGGAAAATGCATACTGTGGAAGCTCTGCCCAGAGCAGCGTTTTTCCAATTTTGGGGGGGGGAGGTACCCATTCATAGGTTACAATCATTGGTTTCTTGGTGTGTCTGAAACTCTTTACTGTCAGTGTTTTGGGTTGAGCCATTCCTACAGTTGACTCTCCTCTTGTTATATTTCCATTTGTGTTAGTCTGGGTAAACTAGGGAAATAAATCCACAGAAACGTATATGTATAAAAGAGTTTTATATAAAGGGTAAGTGTACATTCGGAAAGCATCCCAAGCCCATAAGTCCGACTTAGCCCATATGTCCAACACCGATCTACAAAGTCCTTCTCAAACTCAGAAATCACACACAATGATGCCGAATGCCGGAGGATTACAGGCCAGTGCATAGAAAGTCTTTGAATCCAGTGGGGATGTAAGCATCTCAGCGCTGGCAGGGATTTCCACGTGGCTTCTCCAGCACCCAGGGCTGCATCCGGGTAAGTCCGTGTGGCTTCTCCTCTGGGATGACTTGCAGGAAGTGAGCCTTGCCAGCTGAGGCAGAGAACTAGCACGGTGGTCCGGCCATCAGAGAGCAAGAGACCAGAGAACCAGAAGGTGAGGCTCGCTGAGCCATTTATCTCTCCGCCCTTCAATTCATCCCACATGTGTTTATTGGCACAATAAACCCTAACTAGCACACCATTTATTCATTTTCATTTCATTCTTTCAAATTTCATTCTCAGAGAGAGACCTTATTTTCAGCTTTGACAGAAGGCTTAGCCTTGCATCTGGTAAAGTAACTCCAAGAAGGGCTGCACATACTCCCTGGAAAGGAGCACAGGTCATTGCAGTCCACCGCTTCCTCCATAGGAACTGTGTCATATCATAGAGCTCCTCTGCTAGATTTTCTGTACTGATTTAAAAGGTAAAACTCTTCTCAAGAAGTAAGGAAGTACAATGGAGTAACATCTGTATGAGTGAAAGTTGCATATAATCAAGATTATTTCTGAATAGCTTTCAAATATTTCATAGTACAACAAGCCACTATTAATCTAATATTGGTATAAATCTGGAGCCCTGTTAGTATTGTAGTTACGAGTTGGACTGCTAAGCACAAAGTCCACAGTTCAAAACCACCAGTTGCTCTATGAGCTAACCATGAGGCTTTGTGCTTCATAAAGACTTAGACTTATTAGAAATCCATGGGAGCAGCTTTAATCTGTCCTGTAGAGTCACTATGAGTCGGAATCAACTTGATGGAACTAAGATATTGGTATGAACTACTATTCCTTTAATATGAACACTAGATTAAATAGTTGGCTTGTGTTGAGAGGACATATTATACAGAAGCTGTCATGAATATGTAAAATGTAACCTGTAGGCAATTCTTTTTATTTTTGTAAGCTATGAAACCAAGTCCACAAAAAGAGAAGGGTTGGACGGAAAAAGTCGGCCATTTAATGTGCATGGCTTTGAACATTCAGTACGTGCCAGCCATGAAATTAAAAATACATGAAATAAGTGTTTGATTGAACTAGTTAACAAGTTTATAAATCAAGAAACATAGAAAAGGCTGTGGACTGGAGGCAGGAATGTGCCACATCATAATTTTTTTTATATATTCAAAGCATGCACAGTGCCACCATTCAAATTTTGAACCCAGAAATGGGAGAACCGAGAATACATTAAACCTGAGTCACATTGGATAGCATAAATGGTTAGGCACTTGGCTACTGGTCAGAAGGTTAACAGTTCAGACTCACCCAGAGGTGCTTCAGAAAACAGGGCAGGCAGTCTGTTTCTGAAAGGTCACAGCCTGGAAAACGGAGCTGTTCTGCTCTGCACACACGGTGTGCCTGGGTCTCTGATTTGACTTGATGCAACCAACAACAGCCGACTGAAACACCCGCTGTAGGCAAGTTGATTCAGACTCCTAGCAACTCTATGTGGGTCAAATTAGATGGATTTTTTCCCCCAGAAAATTAGGAAGCTTTCATCTACGGTGCTTCTGGGTGCACTCAAACCTCCTTCCTCTGTTAGCAAAGACACATCACCTCTATGGTAACTGGGAATTCTACTGAAACACCACTGCTCCCTGCCATCCAGAGACTAACCCCTTGCCCTATAAAGACCCTATGGGACAGAGCAGAATCGCTCCATAGTGTGTTAAAAGCTGAAATGTTTATAATTACATTTTCCACAAACCACCCCTTTTTAAAGCCCCCTCATATATATGAAGATTCTTTGTATGCAGTGGTTTGGGGGATTTTTTAGTACCCAAGAACTAGAAACACTGATGACTCATTGATAAGGAAATGAACACCCAAGTAAAATATGGCTCATTGATAAGAGGAATGTATGAAATTGTCTATCAAATAGAATGAATTCAGGCCATGACAGATGACTGGGAGGAATTCCAAGAGATGTAGTTTTTAAAGAGCAAGATTTAGAAAAGTAGATATCTAATGGTCTCATTTTTGGAAAACAACAAAAAAGGCAATTCTGTATTTGTGTGTATGGTTTTTTTAACTTAAATATACATTCAAGTCCACTAAAGGCAGTGGGTAATTTAGGAGAAGGGTGTATAGAAAGGGAATTAACCATAATAAAGATAGTATTTGTGAAATCCTTTCATTGTGAGAGGTTGTGCTTGCAGATGTGGAGGTCATCAGCATGATAATGATGCTGTGAGTGAACTCGGTGACCCTTATTTTTAAGCAATCGGATATATCAGTCATACTCTGTACAGAACCGTTTTGCATCTGTTAGGAGGTACATTTATATTCGTGGTGGGGGGAAGTCGGCCTGGGGTGGCCTGAACACAAACATTGCACAGCAACTCTCAGATGACATAGCTGAGATGTTTACAGCCACAAAAGCAATTAGACAATGTACAGACATAACTGGAAGATACAGGGGGTTCCATTCCAGGCCAATTCCATAAAGCAAGCCACAGGGGTTTTTGATTTTCCAGTGCACATGAAAGTTACATTTATACTCATAAAGGTCCAAAGACAGACCCGGAACTATTTATAGGTTTTTCTTTTTTTGCTGTTGGTTTTTTTTCTTTGTTTTAAGTTGTGGTTTTGGTTTTCTTTTGTTACGTTTTGCTTTGCTTTGTTTTTGTGCATGTTATTGTCTCTGCATGTCTATCTATTAGGCGGAATAAACAATCCAGAGGAAAAAACAATGAGACTGATGGTTCCGGGGGACCTGTGAAAGGGGGAGGTGGGGGAAAGGAAGGGGGAAGCCAACAAACCAAGGGCTATATAACAATAGGGAAATAGATCTATGTACATATATTTATAGGTTAAATGTTAAGGTAGCAGACAGACATTGGGCCTTTCTACTCAAGTACTCCCTCAACGCAAGAACACCTTGTTCTAGTAACCTAGTTTTCCATGATGCTCACGTTCCTGACATGATTGCTAAAGACAAAATGGATGCGTGGGCAAATGTGGTGAAGAAAGCTGATGGTGCCCAGCTATCAAAAGATAACAGTGTCTGGGGTTTTAAAGGCTTGAAGGAAAACAAGTGGTCATCTAGCTAAGAAGGGGCAAAGTCCACGTGGAAGAAGCATACCAACCTGTGTGATCCAAGATGGCATCAGGGATCAGGCATCAAAGACCCAGAACAAGAAATCAGATCAATGTGAATGGGGGGGAGTGCAGAGTGGAGACCCAAATCCCATCTGTAGACAAGTGGACATCCCCTTACAGAAGGGTCACAAGGAAGTGAGGAGCCAGTCAGGGTGCAGTACAGCACCATTGAAACATAGGACTTTCCTCTAGTTCTTTAATGCTTCTTCCACCCTCCCACCCCCCACTATCATGACCCCAATTCTTTTTTTTTAATCGTTTTATTGGAGGCTCGTACAACTCTTATCACAATCCATACATACATACGTCGCGTCAAGCACATTTGTACATTTGTTGCCATCATCATTCTCAAAACATTTGCTCTCCACTTAAGCCCCTGGCATCAGCTCCTCATTTCCCCTTCCCTCCCTGCTCTCCCCTCCCTCATGAACCCTTGATAATTTATAAATTATTATTTTGTCATATCTTGTACCTTCCGACGTCTCCCTTCACCCACTTTTCTGTTGTCAGGGAGGAGGTTATATGTAGATACTTATAGTCAGTTCCCCTTTTCCATCCCCACCCTCCTGTTATCACCACTCTCACCACTGGCATGACCCCAATTCTACAAATCTGGCTAGAACAGAACATTTACATTGGTACAGATAAGAACTGGAAACACAGGGAATCCAGGACAGATAAACCCCTCAGGACCAATAATGAGAGTAGCCATACTAGGAGGGGAGGGAAGGGGGTCTGGGGAGTAAGGGGGAACCATCACAATGGTCAACATATAACCCCTCCCAGGGGGATGGACAACATAAAAGTGGATGAAGGGACACAGCAGTTGGGGCGAGACATGAAAAAAATAATTTATAAGTTATCAAAGGTTTATGAGGGAGGGATGGTGTGGGAGGAAGGAAAAAAGTGAGCTGATACCAAGGGCTCAAATAGAAAATGTTTTGAAAATGATGGCAACATATGTACAGGTTTGCATGACACAATGGATATATGTATGGAGTGTGGTAAGAGCTGCAAGAGCCCCAATAAAATGATCTTTTTTAAAAAGTTAACATTTACTCTGTATTGTAGCTTAAGTATGCAACAGGACTATGAAAAACTTTGAAATATTGTGAGAATTACCAACATGTGACACACAGTCAGAAAGTAAGTGCACGCTGTTGGGAAAATGATGTCGATGGACATACTGAACACAAGGTTGCCCAAGACCTTCACTTTGTAAAAACTGTATCTGCAAAGCACAATGTAAAGAGAGGTGCGATAAAACCAGGCGTTTTCTTCTAATCTTCAGTCATTTTGGACAGTCATGATTTTTAGAGTTTTCTGTAATCTGTTGATTTGATGGTGTCATCTACTTAGTAATGTTTCTGGTTTTTAAATTTTGATTGGGAAACCCTTCTTTTGTAAAACTTTTAGGCAAAGATAATGTGTTCCTCGATATGCAAATGTATTGGTTGTAAGAATTTTGAAGAAAGCCCAGAAAGAAAGACTTTGATGCACTTGGCAGATGCGGCTGAAGTAAGGGTACAACAGCAAACAGCAGCGAAGACCAAGTTATCGTCACAGATTTCCGACTTGCTTACGAGGCCGGCCCCAGCTTTGAATAGTGGAGGAGGAAAGTAAGTAATATTTTTCTTACTTTTCTTATGGTGTAGTGTAGAAATTTATTTTTGGTGAGGCTTTTTTGGGCCAAAATAGAATTTGTACTTTTGGTTGATGCAAACCTGATTTTTGTATTTTTTTTTTCTCCATCCTTAGTTATCTGTAGAAGGATTTAAAAAAAAAAAAAAAAAAAATGGAAAAAATTATTGTCTATAGATACATTGTGCAATTTTAAAATACAGTAATATTTCAGGTTGATGCAAACCTGATTTTTGTATTTTTTTTTTCTCCATCCTTAGTTATCTGTAGAAGGATTTAAAAAAAAAAAAGAAAGAAATGGAAAAAATTATTGTCTATAGATACATTGTGCAATTTTAAAATACAGTAATATTTCAGGTAACATTTGAGGCCTCATGAAAATTAAATGTTTATACTTCTTGTTAGTGGTATTACTTTATATATATACATGTGTATATAATTTGCCCTCTCATTTTTCCATAGTCTTTTTACATTTCTCTGCAAGTTACATTGTCACACATCTCTTAGTAGTCTGTGAATTAGACAAGTGCTTCATCACTGTGAGCCTGTTTTCCTACTTGGTAGCTGTGCGAAATAAAGCATCTCTATCCCCAGTGTTTCAAGGGTCTAATGCTACATAGTGCGCTGATTTGGACTGTGTAGAAGGTTAGAGATTCACTTGAAGAATTATTAAATGGGGTGAGTGTTGCAAATGACATATTATTTAAAATACCTACATTGAAATAAGACTCATTGCTTATAAAAATATACTCACTGCCATTGAGTCCGATGCCAACTCATAGTCAATGCCAACTCATAGTGAGCCTGAGGGACAAAGCAGAACCATCCCTGTGGGTTTCCGAAACTAATTCTTTACAGGAGGAGGAAGCCCCTCTTTCTCCCACAGAGAGGTTGATGATTTCAAACTGCAGACCTTGCCATTAGCAGCCCAACACATCACATAACCACTACACCACCAGGATGCCTCATTGCTTATGTAAGCAAGTAAATGCACAGACAGAGAGGTAAATAGATAAAAACAAAATAAAGCACTGCCATTTGCTCTTAATTCATTCAAGGATGATTTGCTGATATAATCCAATTATAAGAGCTGGTGTGAAAACCCAATTGTAAGAGTTTTTTACAACTAAAGCTGAAATATTTTGTACAAATAAAATCTTATTGATTAGCAATGTAAGATTTTACTTGTAAAAAAGATCAGCAGTGTAAGATTTTGAAAGGTGTCTAAGGACCATCATCTTCAGGGGTTCTTCCAGTCTCTAATAAACCAAATGTTCACATTTTTCTCCTACTCTACCCAGGGCCTCCTATTTTGATCCCTCTCAGTGTTAACATTCATGGAACTTATATTCAACTAGTTCTTCTGGTCTCAGAGCAACAGAGGTTGGGATTTGTGTGATCCATTAATCCTTGGGAGTAATTCAGCAAGCTATCAGTGCCCTGCTTGGGTGATACAGAGCCCTTAGCACTGCTAGTATGTGCCTAAAGCGTACACTACTCCACCATAAGCCTAAGCCTGAAGGCATTCAGCTCTGGTTCCACTCATGGGTCAGCAAGCCTAGCTGCCCAATTAAGGACCTGAAGGCCCTCACTCTGCAAGCAAGCCTCCTGCCTGGGTGCATTCAGCTTTACTCGCACCGTTGATGGTGGGAATCCCACTGCTCGGTCTCATTTTCTGGCTCTTGGTTCTTCTGCTGTGGCTCCACTGCGTCTTCTCTGATGTCACAGCTTTTTGTCTCTGGACCAGGAAGTTCGCTGGAAAAGGCATCGTGGAGTCCAAAGAACATACTCCACTCCTGGCTCTTCTTTCTAGGTGGTAGTGAGATCTCCCCTTCTGCAGCTGAGATGTCTCATTTTATATCCAGAAGGAGGCAAAATGATCACAGCAGTTTCCAGTGTTTACAATCACTGTTACCTTGTTAATAGTCACTCACAACTACATCAGCATCTTACCACTTTCACTTACCCAGACTCATCAGGAAAAAGACAAAACAACTCCCTGTCTTTGGTGGGAGTTTCAAAGGCTAGCAGAACCATAGCACGAGAGGGGCTACCCCACAGTATCATTAGATGCCCCCTGAGTTCTCTTCTGGGCACAGGGGACCAGCTAGTGAAAGCTGCTTTCCTGGAGCCTACATTCATGAGTGGGGCAGGCTTTAGTCTACAGGTAGAATTACATCTTTTAGTTAAAGCCAGCTAGCCTTGACGCGGTAATAACTCAGGTGTTTTATATAAAAACTTCATTTATATAAATACTGCATACGCTCAAAAATAAAACCAAATCTAACTTTTTACAGCTCTTCAAGATGTGCTCGTGCTCATTGTCACAGTGTGATGCTCAGCATCCTGGTGATGTGAAAGCGTCCAGAGAAATGTCCAGGTGAATGTTACATCCACTGTGTTGTTTTTAAACCTCTCTCTCTCTCTTCTCACATCATTTCAGATTGCCATTTACATTTGTAACTAAGGAGGTAGCAGAAGCCACGTGTAATTGCCTCCTCGCGCAGGCAGAACAGGCAGACAAGAAGGGGAAGTCAAAGGCAGCAGCTGAACGGATGATACTTGAGGAATTTGGAAGGTGTTTGATGAGTGTCATCAACTCTGCTGGAAAAGCAAAAAGTGACCCTTGTGCCATGAATTGTTAACTCTTGCACAAAAGACAGATAAATGGAACTGTACAGAAAATTTAAGGTGCCGGGACATTTGATTTTCTGGAAGATTAACAATTACTGTATTGTTAATTCAGTCCTGGATTTATAATATTGACAGAGAAGAAATTTTAAATGAGAATTAGTACATTTTTAATCTTGGTTAAATCTGCTTATGCCCCATCTAAATGGAAGTTTTTCTTATTGTATTATAGAGATTTTTAATTTGCTTGGGTTTTCTGAGAATTAGATGTTATATAATTCTGATTCTATTGACAAAACATTTATAAATTATTATGATATGATTTCTAATGGATGGTGTTGTATGACTTTGTTCTGGTAGAAGTCAAAGAACATTGGTAGTACCCAATTGTTCTTTGATACAAAACCTACAATACAAACAGGTCGAATGTTTATGAAGCATATTCAATGGACATTTTATGTTTAGAAAAGCACTACCTTTTAAAGAAAACCAGGCTTTTTAGGGAGGATTCTGGGATAATATCCCACTTAGGGACAGTCAGAAGGGGAACTAGCCCACAGGCACACTTTAAAAATAACATTTTGCTTTCAAACAAACAAACACATAAAGAATTAAGGACTGTAAACGAAATCCCCGAGACTGGGTCATACTTTTCTATAGTAAGGGGCTAACAAGTTCTCTGGGAAGACTCCATTTCTTTCAGAGAGGCAGTATGTGTTTGCAGCCAGTGAATACTGGGTACCACTAAGATGTGCATCTGAATAGAAGTAAACATGACTGTCTTTTAGTGATAATATAGAATCCCACATAATTATCAGGTATAAAATTTGTCTTGGATGGAGATATAAAGAATATTGAATTGTAAGATGGTGAATTGAAGGATTTTTCATTTATCGAAAAACTTCTTATAGACTTTTTAACTAAGGTTTCGAATCAATATGTGACTCTTGCATGATTTACTCCAATGGGTCTCCTAACAAAGCTTTCAAAATCATAGTGGGATTACTTCTTATAAAGAGAGTTTTAAATATGGCATTATTTATAACCAGGTCTTTGGTAAACTGAAAAATGGCTGTTTTCATATGATTACTAAAAGAGCTCGAATCATTCTCGGTAATTCAAAAGTTTTATGAATTTAAGAGCCTGCTGCAAAAGACTCTTATTTTTCTTGACAAAGAAAAACCATGTTGGAATTCAGGCATTTTATTAGGTACCACATCCTTAGTAATTACTAGTGTACATTTCCTAAAAGGAATCTGTAATTGTATGTATTAAAAGTGTGTATATATGTTCATATGAACACACGAGTTGTAGACAATAGAAATTAACTCAAAAGAGGATTCCGTTATTAAAGTCGTTTCCTTTTGAAATTTGGATTTTAAAATTATCATAAGTGTAATGTAGATAGTGCAGATATTCTTAACACCTCAATCTAGTGTGTCTAATATTTGTATAAATGTAAACTAGTGTAAGAGGGTAAAATAATATCTAATCACGTTATTTTTCAAAAAATTGCAATACCTTTTTGGTCTAAACCGAAACTTCTTTGTTCATACTTTGTAAATATTCTGTGTTTAATTCTAATTGCACCTTTGTGATGTGTATTTATATACAGTGTGCAGAAAATGTTTGTGAAACTTGGATTACAATTGTAGATGATGTATGATGGCATTGCTTGACAATGTTTTGCCTGTAAAAATTTGAGGGTGCAATCAAGTGCTACTAGTTTTTCTGATTTTCAAGAAGCTATCTAAAGTATTAAGCTTTTTCCCTTCCTGTGTAGTACTTACTAAACAACTTCTTTTTGTATTTAGGCATTTGCATCAAATTGCTGAACAAGATTAATAGCCACCTTCAACAATTTTAAAAGACTATTTTGGGGTGGGGAGTCAGTTGGGTATATAATTTTTTAGCTCTATTTACATCCCAAAGTAGAAAGATTATATTTACTAGAGCTATTCAAAGAATACACTTTTCTATATTGTAATAACAGGACAGCAAAGTAAATCTAAGGAAAATAAACATTTATACTATTCTGTAAAAAAAAAAAGGTTTTGCATTTTTTCTTTAGTTTGATACACCACATTTAACATGCAAGAAACCTTTTCAAAGATCTGATTCTCAAGTATATTGGACAGTATACATGAAAGCACACAAATGAAAAATACCATTTTGCTGAGTCTCATTGACAGGTTGTTTCAAATGAGCACATTCCTTCTGTGCTTTAGTCCTTGGTTAGGGCAGTTCAGCCTCCTGTTCTTTTACTGCCGTCGTTTACTGTCGTTTTACTGTCCTTTTATGATATTCTTACGATGAGCACCTTTCCTACTTTCCTTTGCTCGGATCAATGAACGATCTGTAAAATGGAGCCCTAATTTTATAGGTAAACAAACAAGCAGAGCAGCAACTTTGGGGACATGTGATGATTCGGAGGGTGGGGTGGGGAGAGTGGCAGTGGCACCGATTGAGCTTCACATTCTTTGAATATGGACAACTGACGTTTTCTCAGTCTTATGTAAAACATAAATAAAAACCCTTTAGAAAAGCTTCCTATTTTTATTGGTCTGTAACAAAACCTAAGGAAAAGAATACTTGTTTCCTACGTGCAGCTTCAAACCACGAGCTGTAGCCACACCTGTGGTCACACCGCATCCTCTCTAGGATTTGTTCAGCACTATCCGAAGCAGGAGGAAGCCTGTGGTGAGCAAGCCTTTATCACAGAAGTGTTCTGTTGTGTAAATGAAGGCTTCACATCTTGTTAGCATTTCTTGAATACATATTTTACCATTATCGATTGCCCTTTGTGGCTCAATTAATTAGAAACCAAGTGTGAGCTTACTCTTAGTTTTAAGGTCTGCTTCTATGTAATAAGTTTTATTAAAAACATTGGGCATTCTAAAAAACATTGGGCATTCTTAGTCTTTAATCAAAAGCGATTAAAAGGCATTTGTGTTTTCAGTCACAGAGATGCCAGTGTGACTCTATTAGTAAATGTTACCCAGAAATCTGTAAAAAGTGTAATATCCCATGACTAACGTTTATCCTGGAAGTACTGGGTGTATCAACATTAAAAATTTATGAATTAGGATAAGTCATTAGAGCAACAGATGAAGAAAAACCATAGACTTTCCAAAGATACAGAAAACAACTTGAAATAAACAAACTCCAGAATTGTATCCTTTGAGGGTGAATATAGTTTGAGAATTATGTTTGAAAATTTTCACCCAGAAGAACCTGACAAACTAATAGCCACTCAAGATTCTATTTTAAAAACAACGTTTAAACCTCTCAGCACACACTAGAAGGATGCTCAATCTGAACAGGAGCATGTACCAAGAAACCTCTGCTCTGCTGGCGAACGAGTGTTTTCCCTTAAGGCTGAGAGCCAGGCAAAGAAATCTTACCACTTGCTACTCAAGAATATGATGGAGGGCTGACGCAGTTCAATAAAGCAGGGAGAGGCCTGCAGAATGGAATTTAACAAATCCTCTCTTTGTAGATGATTTGCTTACCTCGGTAGGAAAAATCTAGGAAGCCACTAGAACATTCGAATATGAGTATATCAAGTTCAATATGCAAGAAATCAATTTCTCCAAAATAGCAATGGACACCAGATTTTTTAATGACCATGTACAATAGCACCAAAATGCTGATGGGGATGGGGAGTTGAGGAATACAAGACAACCTAGGAAAATGGAGTGGTGGTATATTAGGTCCAGGGGTCAGAGACTCAGTTTTATGGGAGATGTCAGCTTTCCCCAAATGGATCAATAGATGGAACAGAATCCCAATGAAACCCAGCAGGATTCTTCATAAAAATTTGCAGACTAATTTTAAAATATACATGGAAAGGAAAAATAACTAAAACAAGCAAATCATCTTTAGAAAAAGAACCAGGTTGGAGGTCTCCCACCTGACTTCAAGACCTGAAAATGCAAGTGTTGAAGAACTGGAGCAAGTTCATCCGCTGCTGGTTGTGGTAGAAAATGATAGTCACTTCACAAAGTTGGGGCTTTGTCATAAAGTCAAGCACACTTACCTTATGACTCTTAGCTAGATAACCACATTTTATCCATTCATCAATTATGGGTAGTTAGGTTGTTTCTACTTTGAATAATGCTGCAACTCTGTTTTGAGAAACTGAAAACTCCCTTTCAAAATCATCTGCACCATTTTACATTCCTACTAGCAGTAGGTGAATCAAAATCAGTTCAATGGCAAGAAGTTGAGTTAATTAAGAATAAAGGTTGCAAGTTCTCCATCTCTTTTACATTAAAAAAAAATTACAGCCATCCTCAAAAGTTACTGCTGTAAAATAAATTGCAACTCTATTTAGAACAGACCTGTCCCTTTGGATTTCCAAAGCTGTAAATCTACTGGCGCAAAAAGCATCTTTCTTCCATGTCCTTGGTGACTTCATACTGAACATGAATGTGTTTATTGGGCATTCCAGACACTTGCCAATTTTTAATTAGGCTGTTTATTGTTGAGTTATGGGGATACTTTATATATTATAGATAAAATATCTATACTATATTGTTATCAGATGTATGAGGGGGCTCCCAAAAGTTCATGGAAAAATAGAATTAAAGGATAATGGAATTTTCCAGTTTTTGAAGCCTGCTTATGTAATTTGTAAAAAAAAAAAAAAATTCCCATTCTTGTTTGTCCCTTGAAGCACACAATTTTTTTTTTTTAAGCACACAATTTTTAATCTTGAGGCAAACTTATTTGTTTTCTTTTGTTGCCTGTGTACATTTGGCATATTTAGGAAACTTATGTAATTTAAGTCATGAAGATCACTCTGCTGCTAAGAATTTTACAATTCTAGTGTTTACACTAAGGCTTTTGATCTATTTTGAATCATTATATATGGGACGAGGGAGGGGTCCAACTTCATTCTTTGGCATGTGACTATCCAGTTGTCCAAGCATCATTTGTTAAACAGTATGGTGGGGGAAAAAGAAAAGTAAGATGAGTACATTTTGGAGAGAATGTTTGCTTTCTCTGAAGAAACAATGCAAAGTAGAACGCACAACCATACTGCCCTAATCATATATGAATACTTTATGGGAAAGCTCTTTCATTATCTGCCGTAGAGCCAATTCTCGCTCAGTGACTCACATGCCACCAGGGTTCCTCTCTTATTACTGAGCATAACAAGTCAATATGATATCAAACTTGGAACCCTTGCAAAGGGTAAGACCAATTAACTACTAAGGCAATGGCAAATAGTTTACATTTGTGTGCCACATTTATCCAACATTTAATGAAAACACCGATCTCTCAAAATAGACTATATTCATACGCTAACTATCACACCAAAGAAAATGAAACATCACAGAGAAGTACCTAGTTTTAATTAATATTAGATACAAAGCTTGGATTTACATAAGCAGTAAGTTAAAAAAAGACAATTACAAACTTTTTTTAAATAAGATCTTGGTATATCTATGATTGTTCTATTTGCAAAAATCATAATAGTCAAGATTTTTTTTAGAATACCATAGTTCTCTTTTTATATAATAGTTTTATTGACATATCTTACACAATCCAATATATCCATTCACATACAATTCTGTTATTCAATCCCATCGAGTGGAATTACACAATCATCAATGCTATCAGCTCCCTATTCCCCTCCGACCCCCAGGAATAGTTCTTATGAGAGGGCAGTGAGTTATTTCATGTGGCTCTTGGAGCTAGTGTCTTAACTCCCACCAAATGACCTTTCTCAGCATGGGTCTGGTAAGGTGGGGAAGATATTGGTCGGATTCACCTGTGAGTAATTAAGAATAGGCGTCCCTGAAATGCCATCCTGCTGCCTATAAAATGAGCCTGCTGAAGAGGAGGAGGGATCTCATCACTAGCATGAGTCAAGAGAAGAGCACGTCCTCTGGACCCTGCACAGTTAAGCTCCTGGATTCAGAGGACAGCTGTACCATCAGAAGAACAGCAGCAGAACCAGGAGCCAAAGCATGGAAGAGAGTGATGGATTTCCTGACCCATGGAAGTGGAGCTGAGTGCCTCTGGGCTGAGAGGCTCACTAGAGTGGGTTGCCTCTGGAAACTTCATTCAGGGAGCTGCATTTGCTGACCCACAGAGCTTGGACAATGCCTTTGGGTTTAGGCTTACAAGTAGCATGGTATGCAGACCTGAAACTTCCTAACATGTCCCAGTAAACAACTACCCTGAGCATTTTTCGTTGGCATTACAATTTATTAACTTCCTTTATAAACCCTTTAATTGTGAATCTTGTCCATGAGTTTCTGTAACCATTGCAGTGGATATTAAAACCCAAAGAAGGGAAAGAGTGAACAGTAAGACA